TAATCGCCATATTGGATCCGCCATGTTGAATTTAAAAAATTTGATTTCAGATTCGTAATCGGCAACCACAAAAACTCTCGAGTGCCGGTTTTCGAACAAATCCAACCATTTTTAAAAAAATGGATCGCCGTTTTGAATTTTGAAAAACTACTTTAGATTCCTAATTAGCATCCCCAAAAATCCCCTTGTAACAAGTTCCAACCCATGACAACGCGTAAATCGTTCAGTTTCAACGTTTTAATTTTACTAGTCTCTTTTCGAGAGCATATTTTCGTGCGCTAGGCCTATTTTAACCGCCCGAGACAGGTATGCAATTAAGGGAATGTTCCCCACATAAGAAAATAAAAAAATTTAGAACATCAGCGTTTTTATAAAAAACCGACCAGCGCGACCTCTAAGAAAACTTTTTTTTTTCAAAATAAAAAAACACGTTTCTTTTTTTATCACAAATAACAATAATTTAAATTACGAAAGGAACTCGAAAGTACTCAGAACTTAAAAGAACTCGAAAGTACTCAGTACTCAAAAATACTTTGTTCCAATAATCGCTTTGATACACTCAGGATCGATTCAAAATGCTTAGTATTAAGTGTCGAATAGACTTAAAAAATACTGAACTCTATTTATATTTAACGGTATTCAGAAATGATTGTACTCAATTAGCAGTTTCAATAATTTTCAAGTGCAATACTTGTAACCAGTAAAGTTAGCCATTCATTTGACGTAATTTGGGATTCATATATTAATTTGAATAAAATACTGCCAGCTTGGGAAATTTCTACACTAAGTATTGAAATGTTACCAACATGTGTATATTTAAAGAAAGTACTCAGTGCTCTGGAAAATACCCGATCCTTAAAAGTATCGATACCAAAGAACTCGATCCTCAAAAGTACTCGATACTTCCCAACACTAATATTTACTATTATAACTTTTAATGTGAAGAATGAAAATGTTTAACTGTTTTATTGCTTTATAGTTTGGTATTATGTCTAAAAGCTGTATGCGAATTTCTGGGTAGCTTCCAATCTCGACCTCAATTTGTTTTTTGTATAATTGTAAGCTGAAAGCAATTTTTTATAACGATACGTTGTGAAAGAAGGAAGCAAAGATAAGATAAGCTTTTTAGCTACTTCATAGTATTCACTCCTAACACTAACCCCAAACTCATTCAGAGACACAGATCTATGAATGCTTCGTAAAATAATCTGACAAAGATTTCATGAGATTTACCAAGTGCCCACTTATGATATTTCACATTTCATTTGGTGATTCAATGCCTTTCTTTTCCACACAGGTAATCTAGAAATACGGCTGTTGATTTTCCCCAAAAAAATGTATTAACTTCACTGATATTTTCAAAAATCTTATAAGCCAGATACTCCAATAATAGTAATAATAATATTTTGACACTTACACGCTAAGTTTTTGGCCGAGCTTCTCCTCCAATTTGTGGTATGCGTCTTGATTTTTTTATAAAAATTGAGGGAGCTACAGTTTTTCGCCGCCTTTGAAAGGCAAATGGATTTTAAGAGAAGCTTTTTCATTGCAGAAATACACTCGGAGGTTAGAAAAAAACAAGCTGACAAGCTCAACGCTCAACGCTATGGCACTCAATATTTGTACTTATGTATCCGTCGAATTATTGAACCGCCAAAAATTAGGGACTTCACGGAGCTCTGGGAATTTTCTACGAAACCCTTGGGTTCCCCGGAACCTACTTTAGGAAGTCTTGGTCTGGTGAAGGATCAACTTTGCCAGAAATACAATAATTTCAAAAAATTTTTTAATGTTATAAGCCCTATGGTTGCATCTAGTTAAAATATATACAGTGACGAGCAAAACTGTAACATGGTGTAACTCTTTTTAATTCAGGCATCGCTATATTTCCAAGTTCTAAAGACTTTCATCCTTTTGTTGTGTATTCTTGTTGGTACATCCCTGCTCCCTCTCTCATAACGATTTGAAGTCAATACAACAACAATAAAAAAACCAGCAGACAAAAATTTAAATTGAGGCAGATGTTACAGTTTCGCACTCACTCTCAGTTTTGCATTTGACAGTTATCTCTTACTTAGTTGGAAGTCAGATGACTTTTTTCTGTATTGTAATTTATTGAAGAAGTGATCACCAGTAAATAACATAGTTAATCAGGAACCATAAATGTAAATAATAGATTTACTGCGGAAAGGCGGGACTGCACGAAAAGTGGCAAAAAATTTTGGAATTTGCTACTTGAAAATGTTAAGACTGAGAAAAAATATAGCCTAAAGTGTTCCCAAGAACAAAGGAAGTCTGTCAAAAAATATTACGGTACGATATCTTGTGAACTTAGCAGCAAGTAGCGATGCAGCCACTATTACAGAAGCGCTTAAGGTATTAAACTTTAGTGCAAATCAATAGACAGCGAGGCGAAGAATTGCCAAATTGAGCGCAAAGGATCATAAAGGAAGAAAAAAACAAATTTGATCAAAATACATGTGCGGGTGCGGCAGCATTTTGCTGCATCGCACGAAATCCGAACCGTTGCCTATTGGGATATGTTAGGCCGTTCAGATGCAATAAAAAACATATTTTTAAGTTTCAATTGAAGGTTATTTGGTCCGACAATAACTAAAACGACTAAATTAATCGCTTTCAATCAGATGGCCGGGCATGCAATTGGGTCAAAGACCCAAATTAAGCCCATGCGCAGGATGTAAGGCAAACTGTGAATAACAGTGGTGNCGCCTAAATCGCCGTTGTGGCAAAAATGAGATTTGGAAACCCTGAACTCCGGGCATCGAGATTTATGCATAAAAATCATAAAATCGTTATTAAAATAACAGATTTGTAACATAATAGATAGAGAAAATACTGCCTCTCAAGGCAGAAAAACCTTTTTTTCGCTCTCCTGTAAAATTTGAGTGCCGTCAGGTAGGCGGTTTTGCAAAAACATCGACGATATAATGTATGTATGTTTATATATACATGTATGTATATAATAACCTTTATATCAAATTTTTAGACGATTCCTGTATTGTTAAAATTATAAGTATTAGTAAAAACATGGATTATTGCGTTTAAAAAGTAAAATATAAAAATGTGAATATCTCGAAAAAAGGATCAGCTACGATTTTGATCTCGGCGGATTTTGAACCTACAAATGCTGTAGAAAAAGGCTGTGAAAGCCGATTTTAGGCACACTTTTATAAATCTTAAGACTGGTTCCAGACCACCGTGTAGTACAATGAATGAAAAAAGACTGATAGGTCTAACACTTTTACACGTACACATATAGCCTTATTATGTATCTCGAACGATAGGCAGCACGAACGATGCGTCTACAGAGGAATGCTTCAAAAATTAGTCCAGCGGCATTATTCTAGCTGGCTTAAACTGAACCGAGACGATTGCAACGTAATCGATGTAAATCAATACGAAGACGACCGATAGACTAATAAAATCGCAATCAGAGACGTTGTCGTCTGCAGACGAATCGTTCGTGCTGCCTATCGTTCGATATCAGGGTGTCCAGATTGTTTAAAAAGAAAAGAGCCATTTCTGAAAAAAATCGGCAAATGTTTTTTTTTTTAATAAAATTCATTAAATCGGCTTAAAATTTTTTTTATTTTAAAAATAAGATCTTGTTATAACATAGTTTTTAAAACCAAAAACGAATATAATGCCTTCAGGGTAATAATAATTAACACAAATCACTTATATGATAGTGATGTACAAAGAATTTTNAATCTCATTGAGAATTTGCGAAAACAACTAAAAGCACAGCTTACTAAGTATCCAAGTCCGTAAAATCGAGTATATGAGCTGTGAAAGCAAACTAAGGATATACCTCCAGAATTTTTACAGAGATACAAATAAGGTATGCCAAATCGTATCCAGGAACTGAAACAAGCAAAAGAGTACTGAACATTGTGTTAGTAGTTCTTTTTTTCGTGAAAATTGTTAAAAAGTTCTTAAAAATGTATGAGTGCAAAACTGTAACATCTGCCTTAATTTACATTTTTTTCTGCTGGTTTTTTTATTGTTGTTGTATTGACTTCAAATCGTTATGAGAGAGGGAGTAGGGATGTACCATTAAGAATATACAACAAAAGTATGAAAGTCGTTAGAACTTGGAAAGATAGCGATGGCTGAAGTAAAAAGTGTTAAACCATGTTACAGTTTTGCCCGTCACTGTATGTTATACCTACAGTGACCATCCGTCCTGTATTATACGGGACAGTCCTCTTTTTTGACCCATTGTCCTGGTAATTTATTTATTTTATACGGGACGCCAAATGTTCTGTATTTCTTTTAATGTCCTCTATTTGTCCCGTATTCGGTGTTCCGACGCCTTAACAGCTCATTAAAATGGCATGCCTATGAACGAGTTTTAAGTGATGTTGGTACATATATGATCGTAATTTTCTTTATAAACAGTTATTGTTTTCTAATCTGAAGGCCTTTGATTCGAAACGGGGAAGAATACATACAGTGGCCAAAATAGAAATTAGGACTCGACATTTTAGTAAGATTTGGCTATTTTTCCTCAGTTTATTTAATGTTTATTGTTTATTTTATGAAAGTAAAGCTCTTTTTCCCCCAAAACCATATAATATCGAATTTCCAACTTTGTGCAAAAAACTATNAATAGTTTAGTTTAGTTTGACGAAATTACCACGGATGGATGGTAGCAATACTTTATGTTTTTCAATGTATTTAACGTTTTTTTTTTTTTGTGTTTTTTTTATGTTTTATATGTTTTTCAATGTTTTTACATGTATGTGCATTGATGTGAAACCAACTTAACCTAAGTTTACATGTAAGTCATGCGGTAAAAAAATAAGTTTAAAAACCTGTGATTGTGTTATTTTTGTTTACCAATCTTTAATTTTTATTTGTACAAAATCTCATAATTTCTATTTAAATAATCTTGTTTTCCTCTGTTTTTTGTTGATATTTATAATAAAGAATCGCCCCTGATGATGCTAAGGTAGTTAGCGAAACGTTGGGCAAAGAAGTGGAGAAAAAAGTATTTTTCTTGCACATGGAGAAGTAGATCGACCAGCCTACAACAATACCAACATATAACAAAAACTCGATCAAAAGCTTACAAATATAAATTAAATATGGAACGTTTAAAACGTACATATTATCAGGAATAAANTTTATGAAAGTAAAGCTCTCTTTCCCCCAAAAACCATATAATATCAAATTTCCAACTTTGTGCAAAAAACTATAAAAATTAATTCTGCAATGTTTCGCCAAAATCTCAAACTTTTTATGNCCAATTTGGCAAGAGGTCCCTGCGCTTCTATAAGCCGTATGGGCATGTGTATATTTTTTAATCTTAAAAAAAAATTTTAAATGCTATAATAACTTTTTTAAAGGTAGAAAAGGCAAAAAAAGGCAAATATCTTAAAAAGGCAAAAAAGGCAACATGAAAACTGTATATATGGAATCAGGGAAAGCTAAATCGTGGAAATTCTTAATCTAATATACTCTATCTCTTTAGAAGAAAAAAAGGCAATTTCCATAAAATCCGTTCCCTGATTATAACTCATATTAATTGATTAATCGCACTATCCGCTTTTAAGCGCTCGGCGCTAAAAATAAAATAAAAGGTATAATAAGGCGTGATCAGCTATTTGCACAAATGAAATTGCAAATTTCACATTCAGCGGGAGTTGTCACAAATGGTGGCAAATGTTCGATATGCTACAACAAAATCTATAACAATAAAAATTGGTGCCACATGCAAATTAAAGCTCTAACTCCATAACCTACTTATCACGCGTTTCGACGTATTTACATGATAGCGCACAAAAAATTGACTTGAAGGGAAAAAATCGCCATAAATCGCGCAGTTATCCAAAAAAAAATCGCCAAATTGGCGCTAAATCGCCCAATCTGGACATACACAATAAGGCAGTTAGATATTGAAATTGACACTGAAAGAATAATAGAAAGATTCGCAAAAGGAAAACGCAAAATTGAGTTTGCAATTTAAAGTATTTTAAGCAAAATTGTCGTTAAAAAAGATGTTAAGTTATTAAATTACATTCTTCATTTTACAAATATTGTAAGCAAGAAAGAAGTATTTATACGTAAATGGAACTTGGACCAAATTCACAAAATTAAGGGCCTTATTCTGTATCACGAACGATAGGCAAAACGAACGATTCGTCTGCAGACGACCACCTCTCTGATTGCGATTTTAAACTATCGGTCGTCTTCCTCTTGCTTTTCATACATTACGTTGCAATGGTATCGGTAGCGTTTAAACAGGTTAAAATGATGCCGCCGGACTAATTTTTGAAGCATTCCTCTGCAGACGAATCGTTCGTGTTGTCTATCGTTCGTGATACAGAATGAGGCTGTAAACTTCCTAATAGTAAAATTTTGTATATCACAAAACACTTTGTTTCACACTCCATAAAAATTACTTAATTTGCATGAAAAATAAGTGAGGGTTCAAGCAGTTTGGATGCATGTAGGTCATATAGCTTAAACTTTGATTGGTCATTCCCCGCTGCATCAATTTAGATGCCTGTAATTTAACGTTATTTGACAAGTTGATCCCAATCACCATGTTACTGTTTTGCTCTACCGTTATCTTTTCACTGTGCTTTTTTACATTTTATTAGACCTCCACTAGAAGAAAGCTCATAAAATCCTGAGGCAATATCTTCTTTAATGATTTTTGGGTGTTTTTAGAATTAATCGCATCATTTTCATCTTCAATAGACACCACCGACCATGGAGTCGGCGACGCTATTTTGCTTCTCAACTTAACCGCCGTTATCGGCAGTTTTATCTTTTTTTAACAGCCAACTTAAAGTTCTTTTTTAAATATGTATTACCACAAAATAAAAGAGGAAGATTTGTCAAGATTACTCACAAACCCTTTTGCTTGCCCAGATTCCTTCGTCATAACATGCTTTAATTTTGCATAGTATTACACGCCGAAACACAAAAAGCCAAAGAGAAAATTGTTAAAACTACTGCTCTGTACTCGCACAAATCATGGTATTCCACAAGAGGTCGCGCACGTAGGGACACGAATTTCGATACGATACGATACCATATCGATACTTANCGCACAAAAAATTGACTTGAAGGGAAAAAATCGCCATAAATCGCGCAGTTATCCAAAAAAAAATCGCCAAATTGGCGCTAAATCGCCCAATCTGGACATACACAATAAGGCAGTTAGATATTGAAATTGACACTGAAAGAATAATAGAAAGATTCGCAAAAGGAAAACGCAAAATTGAGTTTGCAATTTAAAGTATTTTAAGCAAAATTGTCGTTAAAAAAGATGTTAAGTTATTAAATTACATTCTTCATTTTACAAATATTGTAAGCAAGAAAGAAGTATTTATACGTAAATGGAACTTGGACCAAATTCACAAAATTAAGGGCCTTATTCTGTATCACGAACGATAGGCAAAACGAACGATTCGTCTGCAGACGACCACCTCTCTGATTGCGATTTTAAACTATCGGTCGTCTTCCTCTTGCTTTTCATACATTACGTTGCAATGGTATCGGTAGCGTTTAAACAGGTTAAAATGATGCCGCCGGACTAATTTTTGAAGCATTCCTCTGCAGACGAATCGTTCGTGTTGTCTATCGTTCGTGATACAGAATGAGGCTGTAAACTTCCTAATAGTAAAATTTTGTATATCACAAAACACTTTGTTTCACACTCCATAAAAATTACTTAATTTGCATGAAAAATAAGTGAGGGTTCAAGCAGTTTGGATGCATGTAGGTCATATAGCTTAAACTTTGATTGGTCATTCCCCGCTGCATCAATTTAGATGCCTGTAATTTAACGTTATTTGACAAGTTGATCCCAATCACCATGTTACTGTTTTGCTCTACCGTTATCTTTTCACTGTGCTTTTTTACATTTTATTAGACCTCCACTAGAAGAAAGCTCATAAAATCCTGAGGCAATATCTTCTTTAATGATTTTTGGGTGTTTTTAGAATTAATCGCATCATTTTCATCTTCAATAGACACCACCGACCATGGAGTCGGCGACGCTATTTTGCTTCTCAACTTAACCGCCGTTATCGGCAGTTTTATCTTTTTTTAACAGCCAACTTAAAGTTCTTTTTTAAATATGTATTACCACAAAATAAAAGAGGAAGATTTGTCAAGATTACTCACAAACCCTTTTGCTTGCCCAGATTCCTTCGTCATAACATGCTTTAATTTTGCATAGTATTACACGCCGAAACACAAAAAGCCAAAGAGAAAATTGTTAAAACTACTGCTCTGTACTCGCACAAATCATGGTATTCCACAAGAGGTCGCGCACGTAGGGACACGAATTTCGATACGATACGATACCATATCGATACTTATGGCATTCGATACCGATATTTTCTACTCGATAGTTTTAAAACGATATCTTTTGGAATCGAGTATCAGAACCCTAGTATCGTATCGAATGTCATAAACACACATTCCAACACTGAGGGAAAAAATTTTAGAATAAAAAAAAAAAACGTGCTAAATTGAAAAAAATACGCATATGAAAGAGCACCAACCCAACTCGTATTAAATTTGAGTATATACGTTATAAAATATGTGGTTGTGAAGTGCACAGATGCTTTTTCGTAATTAAGAAGAAAAAAAATTAATTAATTAATGCGATTAGTGCATTATGTCGTACCATGTATGTGTGTATGTGTTGTCACCGCTGTGCATGCTTTGTATACATATACCTTCTTAATTACATATGAAAAGCATCCGAGACGTGCAAAACGCCATCCGTGTAGTGAAAAATGCTTCATTTTAGTACGGGAGTATTTGAATTTAATATTTCCATTATATGTACGTAGTGTATGTATAATGGAAAATCCATTTGGTTAAGACTTTTCGCTTGATTTAAATACGAACATTTTTAAACGGTAATTAATGTTTAAGTCAACACCTCAATCTCTACGTGTTGTAATATTAATAAAGTCCGGCGCTTACACAATATGTTAGTGTTTGGCCGAACTTCTCCTCCGATTTGTCGCGTGGGCCCTAATGTTGTGGCACAAAGGGGGTGCCTACAGTTTTATGTCGACTCTGAACGGCGATTGTATTTTATGGGAAGCTGTTTTTCATTTTCAAGGGTTGCGGACTTCTAACCATTACACCCCAGCGGCCTATATGCGAAACCTATATTCAGATACATTTTTTGGATTTTGGTATCGATATTTGGAATATCGAGTCTTTTTATTCCGATTTTAATGGGTACCCGATATTTTTAAAGCGATACTTTAAATGAGTACCATATCGATACTTTCGGTTCGATATCGTGTCCCTACGCGCACGACCCACGCACGCTCGTTGCCAAATCCGAATGATACTGTGTGAAATCTTAAATAAAAGAACTTATTTCAAGGTAAATGAACATCTCTAAGTTTTGTTATTTCTAGGTAGAGCATCTCATGTAACATACTTACGAAGATATTCACTGCTTGTGACCGTAGTAAAAAAACAACTTACATTTGCTTCTATACACATATATACATATGCATGTTCCTCCGAAATTATCCTTTTTATCTTGTTTTGTATCTTATCTTTTGTGAGCTTCTTAGAAATGCTAACGCGTTTTATCGTAATAAATATGTAAACACAGGCAAATCACTTGAGCCTACCTGAAAAGAACCAGGTTGAAAACAAATAAATAGCGTAGCGCTTGTTCGAAATATTCAGTTCGAGTACTTAATGCTTAAAAATCTGAGTGCTTTTGCGAATAAAAATTAAACGTAGTTTTCAAATATTTAAAGAAAATAGTTTATGTAATGGGTACACTCTTCTTTTACAAAAAAAAAAGGACGAACTTCGATGAGACTTGTGTCGAAGTTCTAGCAAATATTTTAGGTAACAATTCTATGACATGTTTAGTATAAAATCCTTTTGTGCTAATGAGTCATTAATAAAATCCTTAAACAGAGCAAACTCTAGTCATATGTGATGTGACCGAAGGAACTAAATCGTTGGATAGTGACTGCCAAGCATCCGATCGAGAAGTTTCACCAAAGCTAGTGATGGGGACAAAAAAATATGGTCGACGCTCGCGACCCACAGTTCAAAATACATCGCTGACAGATTCTGAAGATGATGTTCATCAACATGATCATAGACTATGCGATGTAAATTTGCACCACGGTATTTCATCAGTAAGTATATATGTATATCTCTTTAAAACATTGAAATCGTATAACTTGTTTCGATGCGTAGGTGCAGCGTTCTTCTTCACAAACTGACATTCCTAATAAGGGAAGGCGACGACCTCCTAAAATGAATGATGATATTAAGCTTAAGCGTTGTTCATCTTTACCTACTCACCGAAACTTTGCTTCAATCATAAAAAAAAGTCAACTTGGAAACGATACGGTGTCGTTATCGATTTGGGACAAACATCAACAAAAACAAGCCCTAAGTGGTAGTGTTGAATCATTGAGTAGCATATTGAATACAAAGTACAGAAGATAATTGCTTACTTTTACTTTTAGATCCGCCAATTTCTACAGAATCAAAAATCCTGCCTGCCAACAGAATATTAGATATATTTGGACGAGCGCAAATTGCTAATGGGAGGGGCATTTTGCTCGCACTCGGATTCGATGATGAAGAAGTAGATGTAACCCAGTTGAATAAAGTTTTAGAAGAAGAACTACGTGGTTTAGAGGATGATACACAGCTGGCATTAGTTCGTGCCTATATGGCTATGCAGATATCAGAAGTAACGAGTTTACGTCAAACAGTATGCCAATTGTATGATGAAAATAAAAAGTTACAGACCAGCAATAAAGACGCGAATCATCGATTATCCTTACTAGTTACTGAAGTCGATGAGCGGCAAACATCTTTGGAAGATTCCGCGAAAAAAGAGGTAAAAATAATACCTTTATAATTACCTTTCAAAATCAACTACAATTGTTTTATGCAGATACGCGTCATGGAGCAAAGGCATGCGACTTTGATCCGTGAATTGTCAACACGAATGGCTAACGATCGGGAAAATTGGAGTAATTTTACGTCTCGTCTTGAAGCAAAAATCAAGCAACTTGAGCAAGAAGAAATTAAGTATAGGACAGAGCTGGAACTAGTACGAAAAGAAAATTGCGATTTAGAATGTGAGCAAAAAAAAATGCAGAAACAAGTCACCGAACTACTCGAAAAGAATGTACAACTAAATCTACATGTAGCAGAATTAAAAAAGGTTAGAAGTAAAGAAGTTAGTGATATTAGAAATGACCAGAGAAGTGATGAAGACGGAAATGTAGCCCAATTGGTAGAAAAAATGTCAGAATTGCAAATTGAAAACAAAAATTTACGAGATAAGACCGATGAGCTAATCGCTGAAATCGAGTCAATTAATTTAGAGCTATTGCGTGTAAAATCGAAGAACAAAAAAATCCGACCTGTAAGTAACACGAAGACGTCTACAGCGATAGTTGTTCCCTGTGCTGTTTTAGATGATGCTGAGCTGGGAGCTAATTTGACTGCTACTAAGCGCCGCGGTGACTCTCCCAGTAAATCACATATCACAGAAGAAAGCCCTCGATTGGGTAAGGTGCGGAAATGTACAGACACAACGGGCAGTGAGACCAGTGATACCAGCGGTGAGTGGATGGCACTCAACTCTGAGTTGCTTGATTCAGAGTCACCTCGGAGTTTAAAAGAAGATAATACTAAAGAAATAGAAGCAAAACAAAAAAGTAGTTGGACTTCAAGTGAAGGAGATTCAACAGATGAACGCTGTAAAGAATTAGAAGCCAGTTTGGAACAAATGCAACGCGCATACGAGGATTGCGAGGATTATTGGCAATCGAAGCTAGCTGAAGAACGGAAGTTATTTGAAAGAGAACGGCAAATTTACGAAGAAGAACAACAGGAAAGTGATAAAAAATTCACTGAGTTGGTGGAAAAAGTTCGCGAATATGAAGAACAATTCAGTCGTGATGATAGACTGTCTCCCATAGAGGAAAAAGATGCTTTAGAGCAGCAATATGCAGATTTAGAGGCAGAGGCAAATGATTTACGAGAGACTGCGAGAAAAATGTTCGATGAAAAGTGCAACGAAATCGATTGCTTACAACGAGAAATCGAGGATTTACGTACGAGATTAGGCGAAAGTGTGGAAATATTAACAGGTGCATGCGAGTTAAATAACGAAGCGATGGCAGTGAGTGCTATGCACATTAATGTGGATAGACACAGTCCGGCTAGTTCACCGATTAGCTACCTTTGGCATCAGAGTACCATACAAGAACCAGCTAAGAACTACAATACAGCTTTTCTCTCACCGGAGTCACCTAATCGACAAGCTAAACGGTAAGTTGTTACCAGAGCTGTTAAATTTCGATTAGGGTTACTAGTAATCATTATGATTATTTGTCATTGGTAATTTCAATGATTATTTTAATTTCCCTTTGTAACCAATTAATAATTAATTATAATTAAAAAATAATCATGATTTTTTGCCATTAATAAAATAATTCGAAATAATCAAAAATTAAAACAAACTAATGCAATTATTTTTCTGATAATTTTTATTATTTCCAATTATTTTTGATGTTTTTTTTTAAATTTATTTGTAGCGAAAACTACTTACTTCATTAAAGATTAGAGATATGAGCCACTTGCAGGGTTTTTACACGATATGCATTTGCATTTTTGCATGCCTCGTATGTACCATATATCAGAATATATCAGAAAAGTAGCATTTACATATGGAAATACATATCGTGTAAGAATGCTTTTAACAGTAGTAAGGATTTTAATTTTTAAGTTTTGAGCTGTCCTTATTAGAGGACCATCGATATGTATACATACATCTATGTTAGGGTGCCCATCGAAACTGCTTGGAAATTTCAAGATCCTATCCTCTAATTTTATTCATTTTTATGAGAAATTATATTTTTATAGATTTTTTCAAGGTCATTTAGAGGTCGCGATTTAGGTCAGAAAATAGGATTTTGTAGATTTATGAGTTTTTGAATGGCTATTTTTGATTCGATTTCAATGATCGAATATGATCTGAGAAGAGGATATATAGGCCTTTAAAATGGCATATAATAATCTATTGTCGGACTAGACTTGTTGGGATTTTTTATCGGGTAAATTAAAAAAAGACCCATTCATTTTTTTAATTTTGACCATCGGTAATTTCTACAATTTCAAAATATGGACTGCTATCTAAAATAAAATCTATTTTCAAATAAACTGATACCTCTTTTATTGTAACCGCATAAATATTATCGAAGTTAGGCGACTTTTCTTAAATTCAGTGTATCAGAGTTGTAAAAAATGCATTAATCTTTTAATGCATAGCATTTTAATGTTAATGTAAAAAAATTAATGCATTAATTTTAAAAATTTAATGTAAATGAAAATTTAAATAATCCCGAAGAAATAATGCTAAAGTTCGAAATGGCTCCTCGACGAGTATGGTAAATTTTCATGTAATTAATTTTTATTCATCATTCCAGTAATTGCAAATAAAGAATAAATTTTTATTCTTCATTCAAGCACTTTCGGATGATGAATAAATTTTTATTCATCATTCAAATAATTTCAAATAACGAATAAATTTTTATTCATCACTCAAGTAATTTAGAATGACGAATAAATTTTTATTCTTCATTGAAGTAATTTCAAATAACGAATAAATTTTTATTCATCATTCAGGTAATTTCAAATAACGAATAAATTTTTATTCATCATTCAAGTAATTTCGAATAAAGAATAAATTTTCATTCATGATTCAAGTAATACTGAATAACGCATAATTTTTCATTTATTGTATGTATATAAGCATGAACATAAGTATGTATGTATTTATTTAATTATCTATATGTGTACATTAGACTGCATCACCAAAAAAAATGGTGGGAATGGAATTGATGACCTGTGTTCGAAAGTAAACGGGTATCTCTCCGAACTTTCTCGCTTCTTCACTGCAAAGTGTCTAGCCCTCTCCCCTACGAAATCCTCCGCGACCCTGTTCACAACCTGGACGAAGGAGGTCAGGCTACCGCTGGGGATTCACGTCGATGACACACCAATTCCGACGGTGAATAACCCCAAAATACTCGGAGTAACATTCGACAGCCTGCTCTCCTTCTCTGCGCACTCAACCGCTATTGTCAATAAAGTACAGAGCCGCAACAAGGTCCTCAAGTCGCTAGCCGGCAGTACTTGGGGCAAAGACAAAGAAACGTTGCTGGCAACATACAAGGCAATAGGCCGGCCGGTTTTGAACTACGCAGCGCCAGTGTGGTCGCCAGGGACTAGTAGGACGCAGTGGACGAAGCTACAGACTGTACAAAACACCGCACTCAGGACAGCGACGGGATGCCTCTTGATGTCGCCTGAACACCACCTGCACGGCGAGGCGCAAATGCTCCCTGTAAAGGAGCATAATATAATGCTCTGCAAGCAGTTCCTGATCGGGAGCCACAGAAGTGGCCACCCAAGCAGACAGCTGCTTGCAGAGGAGCCCTCGCCTAGGCACGTCAGGAGGCATCTATATGAACTGACGGACGAAGTCCAGAGGTTCATTAAGCAACCTCTGGACCCGACAGCTTACAGACAGGCCCTGAACGGCATTCACAGGGACTCAGTCTCGAGTTATGTAGACTCTAGACCTGTGAATGCCGTTCTAGGCATACCACCCCCGGACATAGACGAGACGGAGCTTCATCTGCCTCGGGAGACACGCACAACACTCGCACAACTTCGCTCCGGCTACTGCAGCAGGTTGAACTCCTACTTGAGTAGGTTGAATGAGGATGTGCCGAATGAGTGTCCGGCATGCGGAGAGACCCCACATGACTCGAAACATCTCTTCGCATGCCCGGAAAACCCGACAACCCTAACGGCCTTGTCCCTGTGGACAAACCCCACAGAAGCTGCACGCTTCCTAGGGTTGCCGTTAGTGGAACTTGACGACAACGACTGAGATACCAACCTTCCTGGGCGGGGTTGTTGTAGCCGCTACAACAACAACAACAACCAAAAAAAATTGCGGTTTTTCCGCCGGCATTACAAAATCTATTATATTTTAAGACGTCCACCAAAATATTTCGGAAAAATATTAAGATTTAAGCGAGCTGGACCGATTTGAAAATACCTCCAAAAATAGAGTTTTTTATGAATAAAAATAGTTTCTT